GAGTATGCAGCCACAGAGGGCAGCAGCAGCAAACATCAGCCCAACTACATCGCTGAGCTCAGGAAAATTGCTGATCAAAGCGGCCATCGTTTTGAAGATGTTCTGAAGACGGTAATGAGCCAGATAGGCCAACATCTGCATGCAGCAGGAGCAGATGAAAATTTTGATGATGATGATGATGATGATGACTATGACAATGATGAGGAAGAGGACGGAGTAAAGGTGAAAGAGGAAAGGGAAGTGGATAAATTTACTACTGCACAGCCAGTGCAAATGGACTTAGGATCATTATCCTCACTTCCTCCTGCTCATTCATCCTCGGGCCAGGGAGCACGACCTCGTCGAAAGCAAACTGGACCAGCTCCAGGACTGTCGCTTTCTACCAATGATCTTAACCCACCTCAGATACAACGGGTTGTTGTTGAACATGTGGTTCGAAATACTGATTTGACTGGTCCAACCTCACTTCGTCTCCGTACTTTTTCAGGAAGGTTTCCTAAGCCGAGTCATGAAGCTGACTTTGAGTCCTGGCGTTCCCAGATTGAGTCTCTGCTTGCTGATTCCAGTCTCTCTGCACTACATGTCACTAGACGAATCACAGAGAGTTTGTCATCACCTGCAGCTGATTTAGTCAAAGGTTTGAGCCCCAATACAGTACCAACAGTTTTGCTAAGAGTACTAGATTCTGCTTTTGGAACAGTGCAGGACGGTGAAGAATTGTTTGCACAGTACTTAAACATTCTGCAGAATCCAGGGGAACGACCATCCACTTACCTTCAAAGGCTTCTGCTCACCCTCAACACTGTTGTGAAGCAAGGAGGAATTTCACCTGCTGACATCAATAAACATTTACTCAAACAGTTTTGTCGTGGGTGTTGGGATAACACTGTCATCACAAAGTTACAGATGGAACAAAAGAGAGACAACCCACCATCTTTTTCTGACTTGTTGTTGTTACTCAGGACAGAAGAAGATAGGCAACATGCTAAAGAGTCACTTATGAAAAAGCACATTGGAACGTCTAAACAGAAAGTTCACGTTCAGTCCCAAAGTGCCTGTTCTTGTGGACATTCTACGTCCGATGAAGAGCTAAACGAAATGAAAAAACAACTTCAGAAACTACAGCAGCAAATGTCTCAACTTCTGTCCAGGATGAGTCCAGCTGAATTTAAATCCATGTCGAAACAGAACAAGTCCTACTTTTCACCTCAGGTACGAACCAAGCCCAAGCCTTGGTACTGTTTTAATTGTGGAGAAGACAGCCATCTTTCCTCCTCCTGCACAAATAAAGCAAACCCAAGTCTGGTTGAGCAGAAAAAGAAACTGTTACGCCAGAAGCAACAAGCATGGGATGCCAAAAATTCAAAATCTTTAAACTAGAAACAGCTCCTGTAGTGGGACACACAGAAGCTGTGTATATGAACAGTCCCAAAGAACGCAGGATAAGAACACTGCCACAAGGTCTTATTGGCACAAAGAGCACATGTCAAGTTCAGATACAAGGAGAACAGTTTAACTGCCTCCTTGATTCTGGCTCACAGGTTACTACTATCCCCTACTCCTTCTACAATACTTACCTCAGGGACCATGAAATCAAACCAATAAACAACCTGTTGGAAATAGAAGGAGCAAATGGACAAACAGTGCCTTACCTGGGATATGTAGAGATCAACATGACCTTCCCACCTGAATTGTTTGGTTTACCTGTTGAAGTTGACACACTTGCTCTTGTTGTGCCTGATAATAAGCCATCTCAATATCTGGTTCTCATTGGCACAAATACCTTAGATGTTGCTTACAGCAAACATTTTGACACTCACCCTGACGAGTCATTTCAACCTACAGTCTCTGGTTATATAGCGGTGTATAAGATCCTCCAACACCGCTATGCCCAGAGTTCGAATGAACTTACTGCAACTGTCACCCTGCAGTCTAGTCAGCCCCAAATCATTACTGCTGGGCAGACCACAGTTGTAGAAGGGTGCTTAGCTTCAAGATTGTGGCAAGGAGAAAAACAAGTCCTCCTGGAACATCCGAGTTCCTATGCCCTCCCTGGTGGGCTCATGGTAAAAACCTGCCTCATTGACTTGCCTCAACACCGGCCGTGTCATGTGCCAGTCGTTGTGAGCAATGAGTCGAACCATGAGATTCATATTCCAGCACGAGCAGTCATAGCAGAAATCAGCACTTTCCAGAGTGTGATCTCACAAGAGCAAACAGTCCACAATTCAACCCAGTCTACAGAGTCCCTACAACCATCTCAACCACAATACAAGTTTGGAGACTCACCTTTATCTCCAGAATGGAAGCAGCGAATCATCCAGAAACTCAACAGTATTCCTGAGGTGTTTGCAAAGCACGAGCTGGACTTCGGCCGGACAGACAAAGTTAAACATCAAATCAAGTTGTCTGATCCCACTCCTTTCAAACAAAGGCCAAGACCAATCCACCCTCAGGATATTGATGCTGTAAGAAAGCATTTGCAAGAGCTTTCTGATTCCGGAGTAATACGCGAGTCTGATTCACCATTTGCTTCTCCAATTGTGGTTGTACGCAAGAAGAACGGCAGTGTACGCCTCTGTATAGACTATAGGAAGCTAAATCTTCAAACAATAAAGGACGCCTATGCTCTACCCAAGCTTGAAGATACGTTTTCTGCCCTTTCTGGATCAAAGTGGTTCACTGTGTTAGACCTTAAGTCGGGCTATTACCAGATTGAAATGGAGGAAAAGGAAAAATCCAAAACTGCCTTTGTATGTCCATTGGGGTTTTGGGAATTCAACCGCATGCCGCAAGGGGTCACCAATGCCCCAAGTACATTCCAAAGGTTGATGGAAAAATGCATGGGAGACTTAAATTTAAAAGAAGTTTTGGTTTTCATCGATGATTTAATCGTTTTTGCACCTACCTTGGAAGAACATGAAGAGCGCCTGATGAAAGTTCTCAACAAACTTAAGGATTTTGGGTTGAAGCTGTCAGTTGAGAAGTGTGTGTTTTTCCAAACATCTGTGAAGTATCTGGGGCATGTTGTGTCCCAGAATGGTGTTGAGACAGATCCAGATAAGATCAAAACACTTACCTCCTGGCCAGTGCCCAAAAACCTAAAAGAGCTGAGGTCTTTTCTCGGTTTCTCTGGATATTACCGACGTTTCGTCCAAGGATATTCAGCCATAGTTAAGCCATTGCATGACCTGACTGCTGGTTATCCGCCATCTCAGAAGAAACTGAAGCCAACGGTAAGGCCAGAGAATTACCTGAACCCCAAGGCACCATTTGGAGGACGATGGACTCCAGTGTGTGAAAAGGCTTTTGAAACCATAATCGAAAGATTAGTCTCTGCCCCTGTATTGGCATTTGCTGATCCACAAAAACCCTACATACTCCACACCGATGCCAGTTCTACCGGTCTTGGTGCGGTGTTGTATCAGGAGCAGGGCGAAAAGAACAGAGTTGTGGCATATGCCAGCAGAGGTCTCTCGCGGAGTGAATCCAAGTATCCAGCTCACAAATTGGAATTTCTCGCTCTGAAATGGGCAGTGACAGAGAAATTCAATGATTATCTTTATGGTGCTCAGTTCACAGTTGTCACAGACAGCAATCCACTGACTTACCTGTTATCCTCAGCAAAACTTGATGCGACCGGTTACAGATGGCTTTCAGCTTTGTCAACATTCACATTCAAGATCATCTACAGAGCCGGAAAGCAGAACATGGATGCTGATGGATTGTCTCGACGACCTCATGGTGAGCTGTCTGATGATCCTACCTCCCGGAAGGAACATGAACGAGTCCTGAAGTTCGTTCAGCATCACCTCAACGAACCAGATTATGTTTCCATTGATCAGCACACCATCGAAGCAGTTTGTGCCCGTCACCTGGTGTATAGCCCAGGTGCACATCTTGACCACGCTCTGGTGTTGTCTATGACCACTCATGTCAACAGCCTACCTGACAGCTTTACTGATGATGAACAGTTCAGCTCCCCTTCACTTCCTCTATTCTCAGCAGATGACATTGCAGCTAAGCAGCGTGACGACCCTGTTATCCGCCATGTCATAGCTCAGCTGGAACGAGGAGAATCACCATCACCATCGGTGAAGGAAGAACTTCCTGAACTGCCCCTTCTACTCCGAGAAGTAAATAAAATGGAGCTCCAAAACAACCTTCTCGTTAGGAGGAGACAAGTGGGAAGTGAAACAAAGTACCAACTAGTATTACCTGAGGGGTATCGAGCTGTTGTGCTGCACCAACTGCATAACCAAATGGGTCATATGGGAATTGACAGAACTATAGACTTAGTCCGTTCCCGTTTCTACTGGCCTAGGATGTTTATTGATGTTGTCAATAAAATCAGAACCTGTGAAAGATGTGTGAGACGCAAATCTTTACCAGAACGAGCTGCACCTTTGGTCAACATCAAAACCACTCACCCCTTGGAGTTGATGTGTATGGATTTCCTCTCTGTAGAACCGGATCGCAGAATCAAAGACATCCTTGTTATAACAGACCACTTTACAAAGTATGCCATTGCTGTGCCTACTCCAAACCAAAAAGCTAAGACCGTTGCTAAGTGTTTGTGGGATAATTTCCTTATGCATTATGGCATTCCGGAAAAGCTGCACAGTGATCAGGGTCCAGATTTTGAATCAAGAACCATCCGAGAACTCTGTAAAATGGCCAACATTCACAAAATAAGGACCACACCATATCATCCAAGAGGAAATCCTGTGGAACGTTTTAACAGAACGCTTCTGGACATGCTGGGAACATTATCTGAAAAAGAAAAAACTAATTGGACGGATTTTGTAAAACCACTAGTGCATGCTTACAACTGCACAAAAAACGATGTCACAGAATACTCACCATACGAGCTGATGTTCGGACGCCAACCCCGCCTACCGGTGGATTTAGCTTTTGGACTGCCATTAAATGAGGATGGATTTTGTTCCCACACGCAGTATGTGCAAAAGTTAAAGTCCCACCTGGAAGAAAGCTACAAACTGGCCAGTAAGAACTCAGCTAAAGTGATGCAGCGTAACAAAACCCGATTTGACCAGAAAGTTACTGCATCAGAACTAAATGTTGGAGACAGAGTCCTAGTAAGGAACGTGCGACTAAGGGGGAAGCACAAACTCGCAGATAAGTGGGAGTCATCTGTGTATATTGTTGTGAAGAAAGCCGGCAATCTTCCTGTGTACACAGTCAGACCGGAAGGCCAGAACAAACCACTAAGAACCCTGCATCGAGACCTTTTATTGCCATGTGGATACTTACCTTTTCCTGAGGAAGAAATGCCTACCAGAGCTAAAAGGAAATCTCCTGTGTTTTCTCCAGTATCTCCTGATGATGAAGAGGGTCCATCAGAGGAAGAACTAGTCGATCCACCTTTGCACATTCCATCATCTTTTGAACCTGTCAGATTTACGATTGATATTGACCTGCCTCCTGTCGAGCAGTCTGTCCCAGGAACTGAACAGTTTGTTCCCATCACACAATCTCCAGTGCCTGTAACTGAAGAGGACAGTGATGCTGAGGATGATGAACCCAAATTTGTGGAAGGGGAACTTATGACTGTTAAAGAGGAACAACTAGCAGTAGAGAGTGAGGAACCTGAAATTGACTCTGAACAACTCAATCCTGCTGAAGTCTCCAGAGCTGACGGAAGACTCTCTCCAGATCCTGATACTCCAGAGTCTGACAATGCAGAACATGACACACAAGAAACTGATATATTTGACATTCCCAGCCATACTGAAGAACCTCACTCACCAGTGGATTCAGTATCTCTGGACAGTGAAGACCAACCTCTGAGACGTTCTAGCCGCACAAGAAATCCACCTGATCGATTACAGTACACTAAACCTGGCAAACCATTACTGAAAAGCATTCAGGCTTTGCTTCACGGTTTGAGCTCTGCTTTCTCCTTCGCCCTTCAAGAAGATGAAGAACAGTTCATTGCTCCGTACTCCAATCAGCCTCCCATTTGCTGCCAGCCTGGTGCATGTACGAGGACGTACATGGGATCAGGAGGGGAGGGTGTAACCTGCATAAAATAAGAACCCGTATTTTATTTTGGCGGGTCAAATTGATAGCACCCTTTAAGTTCCGGGTCACAGGTGACTCAGATCTGAATAGCTGTTGCTGCTGTCGCTGTGGCTAGCTGCTCGTCTCGGCGTCTTCTAAACTAATAGAAGAATACGGCTGGATCAAGGCTTACTAAGACGGCCGAAGGATTTAACTGAGTGTTTTCTGTCGACCGCTCGACGGTGAGTCGTTTAATTTACGTATTTTGTTTTTCTTTAGAAATAGAAATGCGGTGGCGACACGCCCACTAAATTTGTGCATTTAAAGATTGAAAAGTATATTTATTGACTTAAGGGTCATTTTCTTTTGTTAATTTTGTGGCCGAATGGATTATATGTTGTTAAAATATTAAATAGGCCTTTTGATTTTTGTAGATTCATCCTTTTAGGACGGTTTCAGTTACTTTTTATTAAATTTTGCTAACAGCCTACAGAACTCTGGGCTTAGATATTTTTTTTGTGAGGAATAAGAGGAAAAAAAACAATTCTTTTTTGAAATGATATGGAAGTCAATTAAGTTTAATTGACTGCGTCAATTAAACTTAGATGGAATTTAAAAAGTGCACTTTACTTTGATCTGTACCGGTAACTTTACTTTGATCTGTACCGGTAACTTTACTTTGATTTGTACTAGTAACTTTAATCTGATCGCGATCTTTAATTTAAATTCATGAGAAACACTTATTGAAATGAAGTTATTTATTTATGTTGTAATTGTTGAATGTTTATTTATTTTGAATAACATTTTAACAATGTTTAAATATGATAGCTAATTTGTATTTTTATTTATGACCTTGTTTAGGTCAGGTTTTTTTTCATCCCCTGTGTCACGTCAAGATGGCGAGCTACCGGAACACCGCAGCTTCGCGGTAGGATTTACATGAACCAAGTTACTTTCTCATTCTGAACTTATTTGCTTTGGGTTATGGACAAGAAAAACCCTACAACAATCAGACATTGATTGATGAACCGTTGAATCACTCTAGATTCATGAATGGACTAAAAAGGAAACTCTTGGGTGACATAAGGATTTATTGTTTTGTTGATGAGTTTGTTTGTTTTTGTTTCTTGTCGTATTTTTGGTTATATCATAAAAGAAGTCACTGTTGTTATAAATATTATTAATATTGCATACCTTTATATATATATATATTTGAAAAAGACTCAAACTTGAATATAATAATTGAAACATACTTCGGTCTAATGGTATTTTGTTCACACCCACGGGCTCCATAGGCGAACCTATCTGAGTGCCTATTATAACTGGCTGCAGTCAGGCGCCTAGCCTTAAATAAGCGTTACACAAAGTTCAGAACAGAGGACCCAGTAATCAAGGCAGACAGACAGTTAGATTTCTCTAAAAGGCATTTATCAAAAAAACAAAAAAACAATGGCTCTGCGGTAACTGCAAGGACATCAAAGGCAGGAAACCTGTGCAGTGGAAAACTCAGGTTAGTGAGCACCTTAGGCCCCGTCCACACGAAGCCGAACCCTGGCCTAAACGCACAAATTTTTCACCAAACCAGCCTCTCATCCACATGAAGCCGGCGTTTTGGGGGTCTGTAAACGATCTTTTTTTTATTCAGCCTTCAGAGTGGGAAGATTCTGAAACGCCGTTTTCGCGTTTCCATCTTTAAGCTCGAACCACATTTTTTTTTTACACGCATGCGTCATAGCGTCGCCTCTATACACGCATGCGCGACACAGTATCACAACAACAATGGCGCCGTACTGTGTTGAATGGTTGCTGCTAATGTTACTCACCCTGCTGTCGGGCTTACAACAGAATCTTCTTCTTCTGGAATATCTCCAGGAAGAGCAGAGCAATATCGACGTCATAGTTCAGCACCTGAATTTGACTTAACCACGAAAATTGACCCGCAGGGCAACCATGTATAAATATTAGTGCGCATGCCCAACATTTCGTCGCTTATTTTTGCTTTGGCACCACAGCGCCACTTACAGGCCTGGCATACATTTTGCAGCGTTTTCATGCATTCGTGTGGACGATCACATTTATTTTACGTCTCCGTCTTTACGACAAACGTTTTGGAAAATATCAGCGTTTCGTGTTCGTTTTGACTTCGTGTGGACGGGGCCTTAATCTGGCGGAGGAAGATTATGACCACGTGAGTCACTAACCTGGTCTTAAATTTCAGTCCGTACCTAGAGGAAGAGCTGGATTCCAGCCAAATGGCTGCAATAACACGTCTCAGATGCTGATGCTTTGAAGACTGCAGAACTGGAAGAGGATCAGATCCAAGCAGATGAAGGAAGGCAGGACTATGCACAAGACAAAGCTGCCCGAAGACAGTGTCGTGGAGACTCACAGGAGTCTGGGCCAGAAGGTCAGAGATTCGAAGAGGTACCAAAGGGAAATCTAGGTGGGTGTCAGAAAGCAGATCCAGGTTCGGTCAACAGGTATAATCCAGCAGGAGTCTGAAGACAGGACATGCAAACAGATCAGAATTGGAACAGGCAGGCTCAGAGGTCCAAAGGCAGAACTGGTCAGGATCAGGCAATCAGAAAACAATCAGGTACACTAGAGAACTCTCACCAAAGGCTTGAATAATCTGGCCCTGATGACTGGTAGCAGGCAGCTTAAATAGACTGGAGCAGTTGACACAGATGAACTTTGTTGAGAAACTGGGTGGAGCTAGACAGGTGAATGGAATGAACAATCAAGCCCGTTATCAGCGCCAAGATCATGACAAACAGTGAAGCTGTAAATTTTGTAGTATAGGTTTAAAGATGATCAAGACTTTAGAAAAGTTATTGTTGGGTCCTGTAAATGGGATACCAGAAACAGCTTACTTATCAGAGTCTTATCTGACTTTCTTCCAAGTAGAGCTCTGCAGTTCATCAAGCTTCTGCTTTTAGATGTTTTCAGGACTTGTCTCTGTTCTATCTGCTCAGTTCTTTCTGTTGTTGCCTCAGTTCGTGCAGAATGAGCCTCCACTCACTGGAAGGTTGGCTAACACCAATCTCAAATCTTAAATATCTTTTAAAGATTTTTTAAGCCTGAATTCTAATTTGAGTAGGCTTTTATTGTAGTAGCTTTACAGTAGATGTCGTATTGTATCATTTATTTCATATGTTTTCTTTTTTTATGGCCTTGTACGAGTTTGGGTGACTTGAAAAAATTTTTTTTCTTCTTACTTTTAGTAAAGACAAATGTAATTGTTTGGAAATACATCTACCCACTGAAAAAAAAAATAACATGGAATCACGACCAAATTAAATAAAACAACAACTTTCGAATTAATTTGATTGATTAGATAAAACTGATGGTTTTACGTTTGCCTATTGCACTAGGAGAACCTTGTTTTTCTAAATTTGAATTTCTTACAGTAAATATTTTCTCTTATTTTCAGCAATTACACCATTGCATTTTTACAGAAGGTTGTTGCTACTCCTGACTCTCCTCTGCCAAAGGCAACCGGTGTTACTTTGCGGGAGTGACAGATCACTTCCTAATACTGTTGCCAAGTCTACATGGTCCCTCCTTCCTTTATTGACTGCATCACAGTCCCTGAACCTGCATATGTGGCCCTGCATGGTAATCCTTATTTTGTGGAGGAGAATGTAACGTCATGCACATCCACACCAGGGACAACATAAATTATCAGTGAGTCCCCTATTTCCTTTTGATTCCCTCCTAATGAGAATGAGAGAACCCCTGTGATGATCACCCTTGGGGGCTTTTCTCTTTTGTGGCATTGCTTGAGTGTGTGTTGCAGTCAACATCAGCGCACCATTCATTAGCTGACAATTCAGTGAAATGAATCAGACAACATAGGCTCCCAGGGAACTGTGTGGAGAACGAGGAAATGACTGCTTATTGCTCAACACATGAACATTCCCCTGGGCCTTCATGCACAGAGATAATGCGGTGGCTCTATTCCCATTCCAAGTCTTTCTTACATGGAAGTAAACGGGGAGCTCGTGCAATCTAACGCTGCTTCAGATCCTTCTTGTGCTTTCCAGGGATCAGGAACAGGGTGTGAGCAGCGCAGAGCCCTTTTCCCTCTGGAGTCAGACTTTCGAAGGGGAGTAATAAGGCCTTGTGACACTGCACTGACTTTGCTAAGAGCTTGATCTCAACTGTATCAGCTCAAATTACCTACTCAAGGCAAGTGACTGATGAGCCATTTCTCACCCACACGTGATGCTCTTTTTATACACCAGATAGATGTGTGTTAGCGGCCTGCTGTACTGTATTATCCCCTCCTCTTGGTGCCCTTTGATGAGGATTGTGCATTAAAGGCAGGGAAGGCATATGATTGCTGATGCAGACTTTTCAAGAAGGGGAAATTTGCCAGCAGTTTCACAGCAAGCATCTCTCTGGAGGAGTGTTGGAATTAGCCTGAACATCCTTCACGCAGCCCCACCACCTTCAAAATTTCTCGAATATTGGGCTCTGCCTACAGCATTCCCAGATGAAATTTAGGGCAGGGCACACTGACCCCAGTCTTTGCATTGCTATGTTGAGACATGAGGCCACCATCTCCCTGGTGGTGAGGGAAGAGGTGGTAGCAGGTCATTTATAGAAAATGGTTCTGTCTGGCGGGCAGCACAGTGCTCTTTTTATTTTTTTTTCTGTGGGGGCCTGTGGGATGGTTTTTCAGACGATGTCACGGTCTGATTGTCACAGACCAAAAGCGCTGTTTGCATGCAGCGGTGCAGGTATATATGGCTTGCAAATATCCGAGCACATATTCAATTGAAAGCATTCAAACAAGCATAAAGCTTTTGCATGCACTTTCAAATATCGTACTCCTCAGCTCTATTCCCCGTCCCACCAGGACTGAAAATGCAAAGACATTTTTTTTTCTTCTAACAGCAGGGGTCTGTATTACTGCCTGTTTGGACTAGATCTCTGAACTAGTTTGGTAAAAGCAAGTCCCAGCTCCATAGTGGATGGCTGTCAGGATTGGTGGAATAAAGGAGAACTTTAGAGAGAGGGGAAAAAACTCACACAGCATCTCGCTCCACTGGAGACAAAATACAGAAAAACAGGAGGCTGCCCTAGGCTGCGTGTGTTGGCATTTGCGTGTACATGGATGTCTGTGTATTAACATTTATACCCCACTGTGTAGAAATGAGATTGAAAGAGGGCAAGGCAGTCAGACATTGACAAAACGAGAACAAGTATAATGGTTGGCGGTGCGTGTAGATCTGTAGATCCTTGGATTTGCTTCCATTGGCTGTAGTACTAGAGCAGTGAGCTAAAATGATCCCCTTTCTTTTTATTTAGACAGAAAGTGGAATTTAAGATAAAGATTTTCGGTAAAAAGAGACACATTATGTCACACATAATGATTAGCAATAATATTGCTAAATATCATTGGAGAGATGCAAGTTGTTTCACACTTTATTCTTAAGGAAATTAGAGTGTTGAGATTCCTATAGCTACCATAGCTAGCTTAGATAAGCCCACACTGCAAAAACACTATAGAAATAAGTCAACATTTCTTAAATTAAGTGTATTTAACCTTAATTTGAGTAGGTAAATAAGATAATCTGCAAATGGAATGAGGATTTTTACTCTTAAACCAAGATAATTAGAGAATATGCACTTGACATATCCTCTGACATGGGAGTTGGCTCGGAGCTCATCTGCCTGGCTAAGTGTTTCCTGGACGGGGCCACCTTTTACAGTTGCCTTTTGTATCTCTGCTTCGTTTCTACATCTCTCCTTCTGTCTTCTTGAACAGATGGCCGCTCACGCTGAACCTGGTTCTGCTGGAGGTTTCTTCCTGTTAAAAGGGAGTTTTTCCTCTCCACTGTCGCTACAAGCATGCTTAGTGTGAGGGAT